TATTATTTATAGTAAAATTATTATATTATATTGCATAATTAATGATTAACATGATTAATTTTAATTTATAAAATAATATACCATTATTATTATGACACTGCGCATTGCTTTCTTGATCTTTGTTGGTGTGACTAGTGAAATGCATTCACTACTATAAAATTGCATTTCTTTTTTATGTCTAATGTAAATGAAAAGTTTGGGATATTTGCAAATGTGAACAAAAAAATAAGACTAGTGTTTAATGGTTTAAAATTAAATAGATTCAGTCAACTTTAGATCAATGGATTTTTTTGCATGGGGGATAGTGATTGTTAGACAAATATCTAAACATTTAATCACCTATTTGTGAAATGGACAAAGTCTTAAGGTTGGCAGAATGTGCCCACGCAAAAGCCCAATGGTCTATTCACTTCCAAATGAATATATTATTTGCTTCATGACATGTTTTGCCAAATTTTTTATACTTTATTTGAAGTTTTTAGTATAATGTTTCCTTTGTAATCTAAGAAGAATTAAGGAGGACTCATTAATTTTGGATTAAAGAATTAATCTAGTGTGTTAAAAGTTAAGAAAATGCGTAAAAAAAACAAATCAATCACATTTAAGTAAAGTTTAATTAGCTCAATTTTGGCTACTTTTTAGAAGAAGGAATGCTGTGACAAAATTCTCCTTTTTTGTTTTCCCTTATTTTCTTCTTATAAACACTCCTCCATTTGTTGAAAGTTTGAGTTGAATGATTTAAGCTACAAATTAAAATGTGAATTTGCACCCGTCTAATAATTCATTTGGTCGATTGAATTTACAATTTACATTAATATTTGTATTGTAAAAAAAAAAACCTAATAAGAGGTACAAAATATTAAACAATTAAATTGTTAAGAATGTAATTATCAAGAAGATAATATTATATATTTTTACATATGAAAAAGTATTGATTAAAATTTTAAAAAAATCATAATATAGTGTTTGATTTGAAGTTTGGAAATAAAGTTGGATATATTATTCTTTTTTATAAGCTCTCATTTTCTAATTTCTAGATATCAAAATTTTGCGGTAAAATTGTGCCGAATTCGACGAGATTAAGTAAAAGGAAAATTGGAAATAAAAAAAAAAAACCAACAAGGGTAACGCCGTAATGGTTGGGTAATATGGCAATCTCGTAATATTGCAGCAACGAGAAGGTCAAACGGCAAATCTGATTGTAGATAAAGTTAAAAAAGGATAAAATTGGAAATACGAGTGGCCGTTGGTAACCGAAGAAAACACTTAAAAACTCTTCCCTTCAAAAGAAACTCCAAACTCCAACCCCTTACTTGAATGCAACAAAACAAAGAGACTCCTCTCAAGATTTAAACCCTCGTGACCCTTCGAAGAGAGAGAAGGAGAGACAAAATCCAAAGCTAACAGAGATAATGACTGGTCTAGTAATGGTGACCAAAGGAGGTGGCTGTGGTGGTGGTGGCGGAGGTGGTGGGAAGGGAGGAGCTAAAGGAGGAGTTAAGAGCTGTGAAGAAGAGCAGCAGAACCAGATTTCCGTCGTGGCGTTGCTTTTGGCTGCTTTGAGGAAATCTATGGTGTCTTGTCGTGTTGACAGACAAGATGAAGTAATGTCTTCCACTGTTCATCATATGGAAATCGGGTGGCCAACCAACGTAAGACACATAACCCATGTTACCTTCGATCGGTTCAATGGGTTTTTGGGTCTTCCTGTTGAGTTACAAGTTGAGATTCCCGGTCGGGTTCAAGTGCTAGGTAAATTTCCTTGCTTGCCTCTGGTTTTGCTTCTCGGTTTTTAGATTTTTTTGTTTTTCTTTTTAAATTTGAATTTCAAAGATTTAAGCTGGGTCTTGATTTCTTAGTTGTTTAAAACCGAAATGTTAGTGTTTTGTGCAGTTTAGATCTGGAAGAGTGAAGTTGTAGATATCTAGCTGTTTTTAGTAACAACAACGGAGAGAAGGGAGATCTGCATTTTAAAAAAACCTGGGATTTTCCCCCGTATTCTAGCTCAAATGAAGGTTTTTAGACATTAGATAAGCCTAACTTTAAGAGGTTTCGAGAATGAAAGCTTTGAGAACCATAACATTAATAGTATTTCCAGAAAAGTTAAAATTTGACTTTTCAAGCTCTGTTCATTTTGAAGATTAAAAAATCAACGACCTGAATACTTCGTGTCATAAAATGGTACACCTTTTATGAGCAGCCGCAAAAGAAATGGACTTTAGAGTTCCATAACAGTTCAAATTGGAGGTACTTGAGAAGTTCAATGAATTTCATGAGTGAAAGACTTTTTTGGTATTTTTTAAGATAGAGATTTTGTGTTATTTGGTTTCTACAGCACCTGAGAGCTTAATAAATATTACTATCTCATATTCTTGTATTATGAACCCTGCTTTTTGTAGGTAAAGTAACTGAATAATACTATGTTTTACTATACTTGCTTTTTTTACTATTTACTTGTTGAAAACCAATCTTCCTTGTGAAGATATTTGGGTTTTCGAAGAAATTTCTTTTGATAATTAGCTGGAATCAATCTTGTCAGTGTCATTTTTTTTACTGTCTTTTCTTTGGATTCTTTTCTTTTTCGTTGAACTAGTGCAATTTCCTGTTTATCATTTTCTCCCTTATATTTTCCAGTGGTCCTTAATTGGATTTGTCTTTTTTTGTAGTGCTAGTGTGTTCGGGGTCTCAGCGGAATCAATGCAATGCTCAATCGATTCCAAAGGAACAGCGTCCCCACTATACTCTTGCTGTTGCAGGAGCGACTTTATTCTCAAGGAGGCCTAAAGGTTTTAATTTCTAAACATGTCGACTAATATTAACATCTATGTGATTATCTGACTATGATTTGAATTCTAAATGATATTCCTCTCTGGTGTTCTCTCACGTCTTGTGGCAGAAGGGATTTTCCGGATAAATCCTGAGAATAGCCAAGAGGAGCATGTAAGAGACCAGCTGAACAGGGGCATCGTACCAGATAATATTGATGTCCACTGTCTTGCAGGCCTTATTAAAGCTTGGTTTCGGGAACTTCCTTCAGGGTGCTGGATGGACTTTCCCCTGAACAGGTTCCCAATGTAATACAGAAGAAGACTCTGTTGAGCTTGTTGCAGCAATTAAAGCCAACTGAAGCTGCACTGCTCAATTGGGCTGTTGATCTTTATGGCAGATGTCGTTGAGGAAGAGGAATCAAACAAAATGAATGCAAGAAACATTGCTATGGTTTTTGCTCCAATATGACTCAGGTATGGGGGCATTACTTTACTTAGTATCTTGCAACATTTTTTAGCGTACAGAAACAAAAGTAATAATTAAGTCAGGAGTTTGTTAGATCAGTGTTCAAGAGATGTACTTAAATGTTCATCAAATGCTACCAAACTACCTTGCAATTCTGTTTTAGTTGTTATTATAGTTTAAGTTTAGTAAAATTGAAGCATTCTATTTTGATTTTCTCTTGAGCAGATGTCTGATCCATTGACGGCTTTGATGCATGCTGTTCAAGTAATGAACTTGCTCAAGACCTTGATCATGAAAACACTGAGAGAACGAGAAGAGACTGCAACAGGAGTATTCACCATATCATCTCATTCATGTGATGGCCCAACAGATGAAGAGTTTGATAGTCAGCAAGAGATGGACACGAGCTGTGAGCTGAGGGGGCCACTTCAGATTATGATAATGCCCTTTACAGTAACTATAGCGGAGATGAAGATGAAGTTGAGTCATTAGGTGAAATAGAGGAATGCTTCTTGAGGCAGCTGGATGAGAATAAGAATGTCCCAAATAGTTGTTTGGAGGAATCACCTGATCGATTACAGAGAACTCGTGCAAGTCCCAGAAGTTGTTCAGGCTGCAATGCTGAGTCTGGCATTTCCTTTACAGATAGCAAGAATGAGAATTCTGCCTTGAGTACAAGTGATGGAGAGGACTCGGGGGCAAGTGATAGCCTCAAAGCACAGGATCAAGGATTTGTACAAAGAGCCTAGCAGAAGGATGTGAGAACACTGATGATGTGGAGATGATAGACCAATTAGTGGAGTCTAAAACACCAAACCCATTGTCTGTGTCTACTGCTGGCTGACAGATGATTCATCCTCACATTATTTAGAACAATACTTGCACATTTTGGTTTGTCTCTCCTCAATCACGGTTGCTTCTGTAAATTGAAAACGTCACCTTTGGTTGAAATTCAGGTAGGAAGTATTAGCTTCTAGCAGCAGATTGTCTGAATCATGGTTCAGCAAGGCTGAACTTGTGTTTGTTTCCACATGTTTCTCCCGTCCTCAAAGTTTTCTAACATTGACTTGTCTAAAGATTGGAACTAATCATGTCAGTCCAGTCTCTTGTCCATCTCGGCAGATATGCAAAAGTCAGTATGCTTGCTCGTAGGGAGCTAGATTCGGCTCTATAGGGGAGCTGTACCTTTTAAATATGGTTGATTGCAGAGCAAAGGGTCCATTCGAAGTCATATAGACTTGGTTGTGCACTATCTGACTCGCTATCATATCATGTTCCAAACGATTAATCTGCTGCTTGTATTTCTCTATGTATTCGTAGTGAATAACATGGTTTCATTATCACGTTCATGTTAGATACGATGATTTAAGCATGAGAGAGATAATAATAATAATAATCATATAGTCAAGTTCAAAGTAAGACGATATCCAGGATTGGTATTTCCTAAAAAGACATTCTAAGAATAAGTTTTGAATCTTTGATATATTAAATAAATTGTGGCTGCAAGTTGCAAGCCCCCTTTATATTAACTTCACTCACGCGAGCGCAGTTGGAATCAAAAGGGGATACCAGCATACCGTGTAACTTCTTGATGTGAGTGCATTCATGGCTGCTCTTTCCTTTCTCCTCTGTCAGAAAACTGGCTTCTGCCTAGCAATGGGTGGGACTTTTTAAGTGTCCTCTCATTGCAGTCTAGACTTGAAAGGGGTTGCATGAAAATCCACAACCACAACCACAACCTGTAATCTTAATCTAAGTCCTGGAGAAAGGAAGAACCCTCAAAGATTATTTAGAGAAACTGCATAGATTACAGAAACAAGATTGATTCGTTTGCATACTTTCTTCATGTTACAAAACCATGTTATCCATTTACAGTTGGCAGTATCTCAAACAATACACAATGGCAAAGCACCCAGCAAAAAAAGAGTGGGAAAGAACATAAAAATAGGGAAAACTGGAGAACATGATGCAGAAGGAAAAAGTCTGGGAAAGTCATTTGGCTAGCTAGAACAAAAAAAAAAAAATACACCCAGACTCTAAGATGCCAGGCAGGTTTCCCAAAATAGCCTGTTCTTTTCCATCTCATTCATGGATTTTGTTGAATCGACAGAAACAGCTGATTTCTGTTCTTTTGCTACTCCAATTTGTTGATCATTGCTCCATTTTTTACACACATGAACCTCTTTTTGCTGCTCCACCACCTCCCCATCCTCCTCATCTTCATCATCAACATTTGCTATGTCTTCTAAGCAATTAAGCCCTCTAACACTAGGAACAAAATCAGATGTGTCACAGCTGCATGACTCTGCATCATCATCATCATCGTCATCTTCATCATCTTCTTCAGCATGGTTGATAACAGACATGGCAGGATCAAAATAACCAGCTTCCGAATCTCCGGTAGCCTCAAAGAGAAAGAAAGAAGAGACATCAACGACTGCATTATTTTTCATGTCCATCCTTGTCAACACTAGAGAACAACACCACAAAAGAAAAATAGCATTAATTTTGCTTGTGACTTTGTTGTGAAGCCTTTCCTATACGCAGATTTTTTTTTATATATATAGCTAGACCAGAAATATTTAAAGGAAGAATATAAAAAGAACTGATAAAGAAAACAGGGGTGGGGCAGCTGCCGTGTTTGACACACGAATTTTGCTGTTGGCTATCAAGCTTAACAGGTTGGCATGCTCGAATTGAAAGTGTATTTTATTCCGTGGAAGATGAAAAAGAGACTCATAAACGGAAGTGGCATCTGCTTTTTTCTTTTCTAGAAGGAATACGGCGGGGCAGGCTACTCTTTGATATAGATAGATCCAACCCACCCTTCTAGAAGAAACAAAAAAAAAAGAAGAAGCAAATCTTCTAGAAGCAACATCAAGTGTCGACGGCCCCGGATTTTACGTGTATCTGTTTTACACTTTCAAGTCTTATATTGTATTTTACTGCATCGAGGCAGCCAAGCAGTTCTAAAGAATTTCCACCTAGCGACAATTGAAATATCAGGGTGATGAAATGACTTGGCAGCCCACCGGCCAGGAAAAAAAAAAAGGTTTTAATGTTTTTTCAGATAGAGTGACTAGGGGTGATTTTCTGGTCCATTTTCGACTAAAACTTTAAGTGTCCACAAAGGATCAAAGATCAAACTACGACCACACTATGTTTGACCTATGCAAACAGAGAGACTTGTAACAACTAAGTCCTCCCACTTTTTCTTAGTGTTTGAAACGTGGGATCGCTCTCAATGGCGACAGAACAATTCTCAAAATCACAAGAGAAAATAGCACCAATGGTATACTGAGGACGTTTCATCTGAGAAAGGACATTTTCTGTGGGTGCCTAAGGCTACACCTATCAGTTCCAGAGCACGAAAGAGCGCATAACCGCAGATGGAACGGGAAAGGGATGGGGATGCTTCCTAAATGACGTGCACTGATTGTATACGCCAGAAATCACATGGATTCCATTAATACAACACAACCCAATTGCACGGAATTATTATATTTTTGGCTGGTTTTGGTTTCCTGCAATCAACCACGTGTACAACCACTAGGTCTGGAAGGTTCTTGATTGTCTTCATTAATTGGCAAAACAAGATTTGGTTTTTTTCTTTATTACTATTAATATTCTTGCTTCAGCTATACCCTTTTTAATCATCAAGTGTATTTATTCACTAGGTAAAACTTGCCGATCCTTTTTCAAATCAACCAAAACAAAAGCAAGGAGTACTTGTTATTAAATGTACAAGCTACACATCAACCTCCTATTTCAGTAATATACATTAATACATATGTCATACATACATGCTTGTCTATCATTGATTTAATATCTTATAAGCCACCACCGGAACACCAATTAACTTGACTAGAATTCAAAAATACCTGATCGATACATTAATTGACAAGTTGCTTGACTCATTTTCCATATTTAAACATATCAAATTACTTAAAATAATAAACTACATCTTATTCAACTAATCACAAGAAGAGAATATTATGTTCCACAACAGTGTTTCACAAAAATATGTATATATAATATACAAAATTAATTTTATTCATAGTCTAATTTTAATTGACTAACAGTATTTTAATTTTAATTAATTAACTAATCAACTAATAATATTGTATTATAACTGTATCATCAAGTTTATACAATTATTTTAATACAACTGATCTCGGTGTGACCGGTTTTAATCACTGTTTTAACTACAGAGAGATATGTTTAATCCGCTGCAACGTTTGAGTTTGTAGATTTCATACACATAAAGCATAATTGATATAAACAAAAACCAAAGAGACAAAAGGAAAGGCAGGTGAATAGTCGAGTTTTGCGTAGAAATTTTTGGTTCAGTTTTATCACTTGATGGAAAGCACCGAAGCTCACCACAAATCAAGAATGTGGAACGTTGAATTGACAGAAAATAATCATGAGGAGGCCTGGGTTTTTATTATTTTTTGAGAATTGGGTAATACGGATAAGGTTCATAATGATGGGTACCTGCTTATGCGTTTTGAGACCACAACATACAAGTTAGTGTAAACATTGAAAAAGAGCTCCGAAAATCCAATCCACCGCTCACGTTCTTCACAACGATATAATTGATTTAAATTTAGCAAAGAGTATGTGGTAATCCAACAGAATAAGGCAGCCTTGCAATCTAAACCGACGAACAAATACGACAAAAGTAGAATGGAAATTAAGAGAAGAATCCTCGAATTACCTGTCCCTGGATTGGGTACTGACTAAGAATCCTCGAATTACCTGTCCCTGGATTGGGTACTGACAATGCTAGTCGCCTTTTCCTTGCTAAGCAAAACATCATAGCAGCAAACGTAGATTTCTATTTTCCTTTTTCAGCTACAACAAGTCTTAGAAACTTCAAAAGTCAGTCTTAACTATTCCTATTCCTATTCCTATTCCGTTCCTGAATTAAATTAGGTTTCCAAGACCACCTCTTTTAACTCTTCATTTCTAGCAAAAAACAGGTGACCACGAAAATAAATTTTGTGATGAGAAAGAGTGAGAATGTGAGATCTTGATATTAAAGACCCTCCGATCTAACAGCTTTGGAGGCATGAATTTGCAGAAACTGAGCGGGCCACAAGGTAACTTGAAATTTGAAAAAACAGGGGGTTGACAGATTATAATATGTATGAGGGAATTACAAAATGGGGTAATGGATTGATAATATATTGCTGGGAAGGAAATGGAAACTTTTAAATAGAATAATTATGTAATGGATTGATAATATATATTCTACCTAAATTTATTATTTAATAATGCAACCAATAGAATTACTATGTCATCATCCTTAAATATTTAAATTAATAATTACCTGTTGCTAAATTTTCAAATATATATTATGTATGTTTTATAATAAAATTCTAACATCAAGAAAAGGTCCTTTATGGTGTCAGCCAAAGAGTGCAATATAAGTATATTAGTAAATAATTAGAGAGAGGTTCCATCTTTTGGTACAGATTCAAGGAAAACTATTCTCAGCTGCCGAGTATCACTCACGATATGACCTAGTATATAACTTGATTTCAACATTTTCATGCAATTAATGTACTTATTTCTACCTCCTCTTTTTCCATATATACATAGGATTGGATCAACTAAAACATAATTTGGTCATTTATGTTAACAAGACTAGAAGAGCTCATGAAGGATTTAAAAGGTTGATACCTTGGATCATGATTGTCAAATTCAAAAGAAACCAGTAATGCCATGCTGCCATGTCCTAAAAAAGGAGATAACAATAAAGATTATACTTGGAAATTTATGCAGTTACCATAAAATATTGACAATTCATTCTGATCACTTATTTGGGTAACATTGTAAAAAAAAAATGCAGTAAAGAAAAGCATTTAAATGCTTACTGAAGGAGGGAGTGAGACACTGCTCATTTATCTTGATCTCTGTACAGGTCACCTGGCAAAGAGATTCTCTGAATTAATAGTTTGAACAGTTACCAGATTTCAGTGAACCTCTACTACTCCCAGCTTCCTTGCTACAACAATAGGATTTCAAGGAAATGTGATCCAAATTTTAATAGCTTTGAAAACAAACCTTGATACAGCCACCGGATTCAAACTAAAAGCACTAATAAGTGACATTGAATCAGCATGAGGAAGGGAAAAGGGCTCAGCACACGCCAAGTAAGCAGCTAACAGATTTACACCAATCATACTCAAAGATCAATAATAGACTTTCTTCTATAAGTGAGCAACATGGTTCAATGTGGCATTATATAAAGTCTTATTCAAAGAAAAACAAGTAGAATAATGCAGTGAGATACACCAAGCACCCACACTAATATTGACAATGTGGCATGACAAAGAAGAGACACATGGAAGTAACTGTTACAAACAAAAAGCACCCATCGTCAAGAAATGGGGGCAGGAAGCTTTCAACATAGTCCACAATTTCCTGTCTCCTTTATAGATCATCGTCAGTGAATAAAAGAAATTTAAATATCAATTAGGGTGGTATGAACCACTTGAAGCTAAAATGTAACAAATTAAAAGCTCCAAATTTTAGAATCAGTACAGTTTAGCTGTGACTGGCGCTAACTTAGATTGAGTAAAGCATTTTGTTTTTAAGTCACCCTTAAACATACAGTTTTAACTTCATAGAACTTGCAACATAATATCAACAGCATACATGATGTTCAGAAATAGAATACATGGCATCCTAGCCTCATAACATATTCCAGGTTTTAGATTAGCATAAGCAATGGTCAGTTGCTTCATATGTTAATTCACATTATATGAATACATACTTTTCTACATTGTATTATTCAAGAAATTTTTAAATTAAATCCAAGTGTTTTAAATATTCAAAAAAATTGAATATATTATATATTACTTCAATAAAATATTATTAAAACAAGATATTATCTTATGCATTTGTCTATATATGATATAATCATCCAAGGGTTTCACAAAATTAACTATCATTTGGTTAATACTTTTATTATTTACCTTTCAATTTGCAAAAAGATATGTTTAGATGCAAGAATAATCAAATATTTTTGAAGAAGTAAGAACTATAAATTAATCATTTTGTACACTAAGATGCTTGAATATACAATTTTTTTTGAAGATGCAGAACAAATTAAATATTCATTACATTTCACATTTTAATTAGATATTTTTATTAATGTAAGATCATTTTTAGACATATAAAGATTTTTTTATGTCTATTTAAAAAGCTACATATGAAAATATAGTACTTTAAAAATGGATAAAGATTATTTGTTTGACCTCCTCTCTTCATGTTTTATTTAATTTTACTGGGATTGATACAAGAAACTTACAAAAACTTTACTATTTCTTATATATGTAAACTTTTTTTTAAAAGAAAATTGAGTATGTGACTACACCACTGCCAATGCTGTAGAGATGGGCATCTGCAGTAGTCACCTACTTTACTACTTGCAATAATACTAGATCAATATTATAACTCGATGAGATGCTTGATGCTTCTGAAATTGAAGAAATGCAGAAACACATAGCCCCAGAAGATCCAATTCAACTTTTCAAATACACTAGTAGTATCAGAGAGAAGACAATTTGCCAATGTAAATAATGAGAAAGCAAAATATATACAATGTGTTCCAGACATACAGTTATGAAGTTCCACAATATTTACCTGCAAAACAGTCTACTCCTAAGAACTTGGTTCTTTACATCAACTTGATATTGGCAGCAACCTAAATACAAATATAATAAACCTCTAACCACACAATGGCCCTTAAAAACACAAATTCTCATGCAGTTATGAATTAATACAAATAAGTCAGCATAAAATCAAAGGAGATATAGCTTTTCAAAAAAAAAAAATCAAAGGAGATATAAATTTGGATTAAAGAAGGTTAATCATGTTGGAAACAGTTTCATAAAACTGAATGACGCTCATGAAAATAGGCCAGAATTTAGACAGATACAAGCCCTACACCACAGACCTGGCACTTCTCTAGTCCTACATTGGGACTGGAGAGGCCAGTCCATATGAGAGACAATGCCATTTTGTTTGAATCAAATCAACAGTCAGAAATTTGCCGAAAAAAAAAAAGTTCTCACAATTCTCTCTCCAGACATTGCCTCCCTCTTTTTTCACACCGTGACCGTCTGGGTTTTCGGATTTCCCATGGATCTCACTCCAACATCATTGGTTTTTCCCTTCTCTCTTGTTTTGTCTCTCCCACCATGCTTCTGTCTCTCTCCAGTCTGATTTCTCTTCAGAGAAACAAATAAATTCCATTACAGTAAATTCATTGATTAACACAATACAAATTGAGGAACCCATAAACATTATCCTCAAAACATATTTTTTTTACTATTATTAGGCATGAGAATAGCTGCAAGAACAAATTTCCAAATACCCCCAAAAGATTAATAAATAACAAGGCAAATTTATGACCTCCGATATGATTCTGAAGACATGGCATTATCTCACATGGACTGGCCTCTCCACTACCAATCTCACATGAAGGTCAAATACACTAACAGATACTCAGTCCTACATTGCGACTGGAGAGGAGCCAGATCCCTACACCACAGTACTTTCAAAATCCATCCAAGTAATGTGATGTTGATGATTCTCATAAATGACATAGATGGTACCTTAGTTGTTAATGATGCTTCTCTACCCCAGTGCAAAGAATAATCATCATACAAGTAACAAGTGATGCCTGAGCTGTTGATCCTCAGGTTACTCTGCAACAGCAGAAACACTTATGGTGTAGAATGCACAATAGAAACGGCAGAGCAAGAAAACTACCTCCAAATTTCAAAGAAGAGTACTGGATCATGAACCAAAGGAATCCTCCATGTAATATATCTCCAACATCTTGAACCAAGCCACTGAAAGAAAAGATACGCACACTGGATGTTAAGTTTTAAAATTCAAAATTTCATGACTACAAGTAAATTTTGTGAAGACTAATTTCAGGGAAGGAAACAAGTACCTACAAGATAAATCTTAATTCCAGTAAAATTCTGCATGGGACTGCCATGGTGTTATTACATGGGCAGAAGGACAGATGGGAAATCACATGCAAAAACCTCAAAGATAACAGGACCTGATCACACAACTGAATTTATAATACCTGGATGTCAAATCAGAATGCATGTCTCTAAAATAACATTGGTGATCAGTATCACTCAAAGATAACTTCGATATTAACTCACTACTACCACAGCCCATTCTTGTACAGGATAATAGGAAGAAAAGGCAATTAAAAATATATCAGTAATAATGACTTGCACCAAGGAACAGAATTAGAAGTGCTGATGTACGATGCTCTTAAATGAAGATACATAGGAGTTGAATAAACTCGCCGGAATGTATCTTGATGAGGAAAAAACAAGTAACTGAACGTGGAAACAATAAACTTGAGGAACATTGTATCGTGGATATTCCCACATAATTATTCTACAAAGAGATATACTCGAGGAAAAATCAATAAATTAATAATTAGTGTCTAAATCAAATTCAATGATACACAGAATACAAATTGCGTAGGCATGGAATGCACCATGAATTACAAGTTTCTGGGATTTTGATCCCATGAAGCAATTACAAGGATGAAGTGACACATATAACCACAGGTTATCCCCAACCCACCCAAAATGCTGATACTGCAGTCAGTCAATATATCCAAGTTGCATGCGACCACATGTGACAGACACTTTCTGCTTCCTTCCAAGACTCACCTCCCAATCAATAAGGTTTGTTCTGTTTGTTGTCTCTCTTAAGCTGAACCTTCAGTTTCTTACCACCCAATTGGCATCCGTTCATCATGTTTATCGCATTTTGAGCAGCTGCTGGAGAGTCGTAACTAACAAATCCTGCAAAGAGAGGTTGTTAAGAGAGAAAACTCCTTAACACTCATACCAGATTGATAGGTAACGATAACGAACTTACCAAAACATTTACTAACCCCTGTTGCTTTGTCAACAAAAACCTTCGCACTTAAGACCCTACCAAATCCTTGAAAAGCATTAGCCAACTCTTGATCACCAAATTCTTGAGGTATATGATAAATAAATAGATTTGCACCAGGTGGCCCTAGGTCAAAGCACAGACTAATTAATAAGATGCCACCATCAAGGATCTACTTTAGCAAGACAAGAAAAGCCAAGATGACAATAGATAGCAAACCTTCAATCTGACCTCCTGAACTTGTACCTACACTGGAGGATGACGAAGAATTACTGCTTGTATTTGCTGGTGGCACTGAACCAGGTGAACTGGTCAATGGACGGTGGCTCATGATTCCCCCAGGATATGCCATGGGGTATTGAATACCTGGCACAGCCGGGTAAGCTGATCCCACATAACTTGCAGGAGGCATAGCATAATTTCTAGGAGCAATATTGGGAGCAAGGTCAGGTGTGATTCCTCGCATTGCACTTCCTTGATTTACTGGAGGAATCATATTATGGAATGCAGGCTGATTCTGCATTGGTGGCAACCGGTACTGCATAAGTCCATAACTTCCTGGAGCCTAAATAAATAAGATGATCAATCACATTTAAATATAAAATGCTTAATCAAAACATCATGACTAAAAAATTAGACAATCGCCCATAACTCAGTGAAAATACAAGGAAACAGAATCACTTATGAGTCGGATAATATGTGTTTCTGAAATTTTGAATTGCTCCAGATGAAAAAGAAGAAAACCTACTTGATATCCATATCCATTGTATGGGGCAGCATAACCCATTGGCAAGGCTCCAAACAATGAAGGATGTGGTGAATCAGCATTTGATATATTACAAGCTTGAGATTGAGCTTTCTGGGCCCTTCGAGCTTGTCTTTCCTTTTCTGTATCTGCCCATTTGACAACGAGAGGAACATTTGAGCCCTAAAACAGAAGAAGCTAATGATCAGAATACTATCCCGCACTTTTATTCGAGAAAATTAACTCACCACCAGACATGATCAGACAAAATTCTACATAAGGCTTAAACAGCGGCCATTGCATCCTTAACCCATGTCTGGATGCCAAATGGTAAAGACAAGCCTTCGATTAAAGACTAATTATCTGGTACAAGAACCCGTCTAATGAAGACAAGAACTTCCTTTGTATCTATGCATTCCGCAATCCACTAGGTTATGAAAGGAAATTTCAGACATATGTCCAAGTGTAGCTTGATCAAGATTAAAGATAATAAGCTTCTACAAAGAGCCCATTTTCTTGACAACTTTCACACTAGATGCAACATAAAATTATTCACAACAATGAGTTTGGTTTCGCAGCACGCAATATATAGGGATAGTTAGCCACAAAAATCATCTCCTGATGCATGTGCAAACGATTTCCAGGTTTATATCAGAATCTTTAGTGACTTGAGCAACCTAAGCTAACATCATTAATTAAGGAATAACTAAATATTTATGTCGTAATTTATTCCTATGAACAATGACTATGTAAGGTAGTTTATCAGTGCATAACCTATAAATGCATTGAATTGTTTATTATGCAAAAGATACCAGATAAAACAAGAATAAAAACTCAGAACAATGTTCAAGGTAATTTGTTGATTTTCAACAGCAGAAACATGCACAAAATACAAACCTCCATTTTATGCTTTCCATTAATGGCCTCCAGGGCATCAACGGCCTGTTCTTTTGTCTCATACTTCAGAAAAGCGCAACCTGCCATAAAAAAACCAATACAACTATAATTCAAATGTTGAAATCAGCTTAAGATTGAGGTTTTTGTTTTTATGCAATTAAGCACTGAATATGGCTTACTTCTTTTTAGAAAAGAAAAAAGGAAAAAAAAAAAAAAACTCAGAAAAGGAATCCAGGATCAAAGAATAAGTACCTTTACTTGTTTGCTGAGAACCTCGTAGAATCTGTAGGTCCTTTATGGTTCCATATTTAGAGAATAAAGCAGAAACTTCAGCTTCAGAAACATTCTTTGGCAACATGCCAACAAAGAGTTTGTGTTCTAGATCAAACAGGCAGTAAAAAGATGACAACAATTCATAATTAACTCAAAAGTGTGATAAAAAAAAGCATCACCAGATAATGAAGGAGATCAATTCTTCCAACCTCATAGGAAGCAGAATTATAAGCAATTAATTTACTGAATTTATATATACCTAATCTTTCCAACTCGCCATCCGCATACTTCACTTGCAATGGACTAGACGCCTGAATTGGACAAAATATCAGAAAGATGAGTTCCAATCAGGAAGGTAATAAGACTCACACGGTAAAAGTAATCTCTAAGCACAAATACATGACAGCAGACATAGGTCAAAGCAATATCTAAGTACTAAAGATTGAATTATCCGCAGATTTTTCATTAAAAGTTGAATATAAGAGTTGAGTCATTAATCACTCCAAATCCCCAGATCAGGGACATGTCATGTTGTATAAACAGGCATATTTACACCACCAAATCCAAATGCTTGATGATCAATCATGAAAACAAAATGTAAACATGACATGCCACAATGTAAGTCAACACCAGAGGCATAACTTGATAAGTCATACTAGTGACCATCTTAGGGCTACATTGATGTCAAAATCAACTTTATCCAAATCAATCAAATTCTATGCTAACACTGAGTCCCAGAAGGGACACTGGCTTTGTTTGTCATTGGATTCTAGATCAATGCTTATACACAATTAAGTGGTTCTTCCACTCTTGTCTATCAGCTTGAACTAGGACAAGCAATTATATATTCAGCATTTCATTCTTTGATCTCTGTTTATGTACTTTTAATTGCAATATTGCTATGGAATGGCAAATTCTTTTCAGGGCTGTTGGTCGCCAAGCTACATGCAGATATTCATCTCTTTTCTTCACTGTGGAAACAGAAAGTCCTGATTTGCTTCCAATTCATACCTCATAACTAAACTACAGTGCTACAGCAGCTCATGTGTTTTGTATTACATGAACAAACAGGTACTTCAATCATAAAGTGGTACTTAAATATGATCAATAATCAACAACTAAGGCATGGAATGAAACTCAGGGATGTGAACCTGACTAAGTAACGTTCCATTTACATTGTGAAAGAGCGAGAGTATAAGCCCAGCTGAGGTTGATGTTAACTTAAAAAAATAGAAATTCATCTGTTGATCAAGCATTTGCTTACTTACATTAATACACATAAATGCCTTCCATTATACCCGAAAACTGCAGCATCACCTCATTCTTTTCTTTTCAATCAAGTACTTTCGTTCATTATGTTGAAATTAGTAACCAGACCAATTCATATTTGATTAGTAACTCATTGTTTCCCAATTATAATTTTTATGATAGGCTCTGCTTTTAATTGCTACGAGATTTTAAGCAAGTCAATTAAATATGAAAGATATTTGACTAACATGATGTAGTAACATGACAAATAGCTGTAGAGTAGCTATCCTTAAGTGAAACCCTATAAGTAGAACTCCAACACCTATTGTTCTCTTCATCATTCCAATTTCAGACAAATTGCAATCACTAAATTGCCCCGTTTCCTGTCCAAATTATGTTCTATAAAATGTAATCTGGAGTACATAAAGCCCTAGCCTTCATCTTTTACATGCTTTAGAATTTCTCAAAACTCCATTTTATCACAAAACAACCAGGGTTTTTTCTTTCTAGAAAAAATAAAAATCTAAGCTTACAGCATGCTGAAAATACAAGGCCGCCAGCCGTTTCTTTTCC